ATATTGCGATGACATACAATTATATTGCAAGGAGATACAAATATATTGCGACGAGATACAATTATATTGCGATGACATACAATTATATTGCAAGGAGATACAAATATATTGCGACGAGATACAATTATATTGCGATGACATACAATTATATTGCAAGGAGATACAAATATATTGCGACGAGATACAATTATATTGCGACGAGATACAATTATGTTGCGATGAGATACAATTATATTGCAATGAGATACAATTATATTGCAATGAGATACTATTATATTGCGATGAGATACAATAGCGTGTCTAGGAGTTCGTAGGTGATATAGTGCTCAACCCGCGAAAGAGGTTATTCTACAGATATCATCAAGATATAACATTATTCTAGACCGACTCGTGTTCTGTGCGAATCATGGGCGATGGAATTCTTCTAAATTTCCAAGGCGAATATCGAATTTCCAAGGCTAAATCCTAAAGGCGGAATAGACGCGGGGTTTCGATTTCGCTGTACGAGCTGTTTTCTATTTTATGCATTTGTCGGCGACAACTGTAAATCTGTAACCGTTTTGTGTATTTCTCGGTAACCGTAATATGTCTGGAAGGGACAAAAGCGTGCATCGAGGAGATCATTTCTATAAGGGAGAGCGTACGTAGCTGGGGGGGGGGATGTTAGCTCGTCGAACCTTACCTGCACATCCCTTTTCGTCTAGACCATCTTTGCAGTCGCGAACGCCATCGCATCGCTGTTCTCCATCCAGACACTTGCCGTCGTCGCAGGCGAAATGCCCGAAATCGCACGATCCTGCAATAGAATGATAGCAAGAGAATGATAGCAAGAGAGTAATAGTAAGAGAATGGTAGCAAGAGAGTAATAGTAAGAGAATGATAGCAAGAGAGTAATAGTAAGAGAATGATAGCAAGAGAGTAATAGTAAGAGAATGGTAGCAAGAGAGTAATAGTAAGATAATGATAGCAAGAGAGTAATAGTAAGATAATGATAGCAAGAGAGTAATAGTAAGAGAGATGTAGCAAGAGAGTAATAGTAAGGAATGAATACAGAGAGAGTAATAGTAAAGATAATGGTAGCAGAGAGATAATAGTAAGATAATGATAGCAAGAAGATAATAGTCAAGAGAATGATAAGCAAGAGAGTAATAGTAAGAGATGTAGCAGAGAGTAATAGTAAGATAGTGATAGCAAGAGATTAATAGTAAGAGAATGGTAAATGCAAGAGAGTATTAGTAAGAGATGATAGCAAGAGAGTAATAGTAAGAGAATATAGAAGAGAGTAATAGTAAGAGAATCGGTAGCAAGAGAAGTAATAGTAAAGATATGGTCGCAAGAGAGTAATAGTAAGATAATGATAGCAAGAGAGTAATGTAAGAGATGATAGGAAGAGAGGTAATAGTAAGAGAATGGTAGCAAGAGAGTAATAGTAAAGAGAATGATAGCAAGAGAGTAATAGGTAAGAATAATGGAGCAAGAGAGTAACATAGTAAGATAAGATAGCAGAGAGTAATAGTAAGAGAATGATAGCAAGAGGTAATAGTAAGATGAATGGTAGCATAGAGAGTAATAGTAAGAGAATGTAGCAAGAGAGTATAGTAAGAGAACTGTACAGAAAGTAATAGTAGATAATGATAGCAAGAGAGTAATAGTAAGAGAATGGTAGCAAGCAGAGTAATCAGTAAAGATAATGAAGGCAAGCAGAGTAATAGTAAGAGATGGTCCAGGAGAGTAATAGTAAGAGAATGATAGGCAAGAAGTAATAGTAAGAGAATGATAGGCAAAGAGTATAGTAAAGATAATGATATCACCAAGAAGAGTAATAGTAAGATAATGGTAGCAAGAGAGGTATAATAAGATAATGATTAGCAAGAGAGTAATGTAAGAGAATGATAGAAGAGAGTAATAGTAAGATTAAATGGTAGCAAGACGTAATAGTAGATATGATAGCAAGAGAAGTATATAGTAAGAGAATGGTAGCAGAGAGTAATAGTAAGAGAGATGGTAGCAAGAGAGTAATAGTAAGACTAATGATAGGCAAGTAGAGTAATAGTAAGAGAATGGGTAGCAAGAGAGTAATAGTAAGAGAAATGGTAGCAAGAGAGTAATAGTTAAGAGAATGATAGCAAGCAAGAGTTAATAGTAAGAGAATGATGCAAGAGAGTAATAGTAAAGAATGATAGCAGAGAGTAATACTAAGAAAATGATAGCAAGAGAGTAATAGTAAAGAATGGATAGAAGAGAAGTATAGTAAATAATGATAGGCAAGAGAGTAATAGTAAGAGAATGATAGCAGAGAGTAATAAGTAAGCAGAATGATAGCAACACACAAAAAAGAGAGTAATAGTAGAGAATGATAGAAGAAGTAAATAGTAAGAGAATGATAGCAAGAGAGCAATAGTTAAGATAATGATAGCAAGAGGTAATAGTAAGAGATGATGCAAGAGAGTAATAGTAAAGAGAAATGATAGCAAGAGAGTAAATAGTAAGAGATGATAGCAGAGAGTAATAGTAAGAGAAGGTAGGCAGAGAGTAATAGTACAGAGAATTGATAGCAAGAGAGTAAACGTAAACAGAATGGAGCAAGAGAGTATTAGTAGTAAAGAAATGGTAGGCAGAAGGGCTGCGAACAGACGAATAAAGCGTCGTAAAATAACAATACAAGTCTATATTGGAAATATTAAACTTTACACCTGTGTAGCACCGGTCGCGCACCTATAGTGTTGCCCGAACACTAAGCCATCCTAGCTGTGGCGCGTGATGACTGTCAAATTATTTTTGACATTTCGTGTACAACGGGACCCACGGTTTCGTTGATGGATTTTATTACACGAGAATTAACGTGATTATGTGACGTGTAAACGGTGCGAACGCGTTTTTAAGGGCTTCACGTCCGTTGGGTTATTCGTAGAAGCATCGGCGAGTTTCAGGTTCGCTTGGTAATCGCACGGCGTTTATGCGGGTAAAGGTGAAGGTGTGTGTGTGTGTGTGTGTGTGTGTGCGTGCGTGCGTGCGCGGTGCGTGCCGTGCGTGGTGTGTGATGTGTGTGTTGTGTGTGTGCGCAGCGCGCGCGCGCAGTGTGTGTGTATGTATGAATGTGCATGTGTGCGTGCGTGCGCGTGTGTGTGTGTGTGTGTGCTCGCGCGCGCGCGTGTGTGTGTGTGCGTCTGTGTGTGTGTGTCTGTGTGTTGGGGAGGGGGTGATAGCAGGGCTGTCTTACCGCAATATACTTCGTCGTTGTCGCATTGGTGGATTCCGTCACATACTTCCCACAGCGGTATGCAGGTGCAATTTCCACAGGTGAACTCCGTGTTGGAACAGGTACAATCTGAAACGAATCAAGTATTATAGCGCTGTTCCGTACGTACGAGCGGCCGTTACTAGATATTGGTATCAAGCATCAAGTGTTGTGCATGTGTTGCTGGTGAGTGTTGTGTGTGGTGTGTGTGTAGTGTGTGTGTGTGTGTGTGTGTGTGTGTGTGTATGTGTGTGCTGTGTGTGTGTGCGTGCATGCGTGCAGGCATGCGTGTGTATGTTGCGCGTACTCGTGCGCGTGCGTGCGTGTGTGTGTGCATGGTGTTTTGCTGTCTGTGTGTGCGGCGTTGCGCGTGCGTGTGTGTGTGTATGCGCATGTGTCTACGCGTGTGCGTGCGTGCGTGGCGTGCGATGCGTGTGTGCGTGGTGATGTGTGTCGTCGCGTGTGTATGTGTGCGCGTGTGTGTGCGTCGTGCGTGTGCGTGCGCGTAGTGTGTGCGTGTGGTATCGTGTGCGTGTGAATCGCTGGTGTGCATCTGTGTGTCGTCTGGGTGTGTCATCTGTGTCGTCTACTGCTGCGTGGTCTGGTGTGCTCTGTGCTCGTGCGTGTGTGTCCGTAATATAACTAATACTCTTGAAGCCAGGGGTTTCGGCAGTAATCATCGATATCATCTGAATTCTATTTCATTAACAAGAATCTACTACCAAACGCTAAAGGCAAATAGTCACGTCGCGCTGGTGTACGCGAGGTCCACCGCGTAACACACACACCGTAGCTTGGTTTGGGCCGCGCAATCAACTTGCCCTCCCTAGTATGAATACCGTTAGCGAACTACAACACGACGCACACCGAGTAGCCGTGCCGTTTGGCGCGCGCATGAACTTGCCCTCGCCTAGTATGAGACCGTACGAACTACAGACACGCACACACACGCGTAACGTTGGGTTAGCGCGCGCGATGAACTGCCCTCCGCTAGTATGAGACCGTACGAACTACAACACGACCACACACCGTGCGTGGTTATAGGCGCGCGAGCATGAGGCAGCGTTAGCTTTTTTTTTACGCAGTCCTCCTCCGTCTGAGCCGTCACCGCAGTCGTCGTGTCCGTCACACACCTCCGACACGAGCATGCAGCATGCCTCTACCGCCGCAGTTGTACTCACGCAAGCGTCGTGCACTCCTCTGCAAGACAGTGGCGGTGGAGAGAGAGAGAGATAGAGAGAGAGTTGAGAATTCGTAGTGCGCGCGCGGCACCAGCGAACATAGCGCGTATTGGTTCAATATTATTACGTTATTACTGTCGCGATTAATAATTAATTATATATTATATTATATAATATAATATAATATAATATTATATTGATTATATTATATAACATAATATAATCAGGAGTCAATAATGACAAATTGTCATTATTAACTCCTGATATATTGTAACACAAACATTATTATTGTCTGCGAATAAGGAGTAAGAGCACACCGGTGCGATAATATATATATATATATAATATATATATATTATATATTATATATATATATCCGGTAAGAAGAATCCCCATCGTTGCTTGCGGGAGAGAGAACGCCATCGGGCGTTTCGACCTACCACAGCTTTTCTCGTCGCTATCGTCCATCGCCCCGCAGTCGAACTCTCGTCCACAACCTGTATGAGCGGGATACCAGCGACGCTCTCACAGGTGAATCATCCTAGTGCACATAGCCGACCTGAGGCGAGAAGGAGATGAGACAAAAAAGGTGCTTTAGATATCGTCGGGGTTAATAATGACAAATTCAGGATTAATAATAAAAAATTTCAGTGGGTTAATAATAAAAAATAATTTGTCATTATATATACCCCTGATATTGTATATGGTGTCAGCCTGATAACTGCTTGGTAGTTTGTGAACCGGTTTGATATGTCGCAGGTGTTAAAAAAACTGCTACTGCTGGCAAATGCGAATCGGTTTAGATATCCTGGAGTAACGCAAACTGGTAACTACTGCGGGCCAATAGTTGAAGTGGTATAGATATCGTAGGTGTCGAAACCTGGCGACGTGCTGGCAAAGGTGAATCGGTTTGAATCTCGTAATATAAAGCACATGTTAACACTCCTATTATGTACTCTGTTATGTTATCTGTTATGTGCTTATATAATATATATATATAATATATATATATAATATATATATATATATTTGATGACAGTATAAATTATATATATATATATATTGGTACTGCCACAAACCAGCTATCTGCTGGCATTTATTTATGCTGGAATACAGATAGACGCGACTCCTCAAGTCTTTACGAATCAGCAACTCAGCTGAGAGGCCCATCCCCGGGGGCTCAGCCACGCGGACGTGTGGCGACCGTCTAGGATAAGTGATGACGTTATCCACGTCACGATGACGTCACGGCCGTCGCTTACCACAGTCGACCTCGTCGGATCGGTCGATGCAATCCGGAATTCCGTCGCAGCGAAGCGTGGAGTTAATGCACTCGCTCGTCTTCGTGCAGTGAAATTGCTCCGGCTGGCACATCATGCTGCCTGCAGTGCACGGAGGCAAAAGAGGGGGTTAATGAATATATAATGTTGAAGAAGGAAGGGGACAGACAGACAGAAGAGGATAAGAGGGGTAGTGAGAGAGAGAGAGAGAGGGAGAGAGAGAGAGAGAGAGAGAGCGAGAGAGAGAGCGAGAGAGAGAGAGAGAGGAGAGAGAGAGAGAGCGATAGAGAGACAGGGGGTAGGGTAGAAAGTGAGAGCGGTTGACACATCATGTTCCCTGCAGCCTACAACACGGGAGAGAAGGACGAATTTAGCACGTAATATATAATCACGCACGTATAAGGTAATAATACATGTAGTGGTACGCAATGTGTTAACACACACGTGCAAGATAATTATACGTGTAGTGTAACGCAATGTGTTAACACACACGTGTAAGATAATAATACGTGTAGTGTAACACTATGTACAACGTAAATGAAAATGGAGGTGTTACCCCGTTACTATGCTAGTGGATGCAGGTTGGGGCTGGGGTGAATTTTTCTGGATTAGGAGCCTCTACCACCTCGGGGATGTTGATATACAACACAGTAGCGGCTTGGGTTGAGAGAGGGGGAGGAGATATAGCGGCGGTCCGGAGTGTGTGAGAGATAGAAAGAAAGAGGGTGGCAGACAGACAGAAAGGGGTATGAAGTGGAGGGAGATAGATAGAGCGATAGAGGGATAGAGGGACAGAGTGGTAGGGCAGAGAGTGAGAGCGAGAGAGAGGTAGATGACGAAATTGAGAAAGAGAGAGAGCGCGAGTGAGAGGGAGAGAGAAAGAAAGAAAGAAAGAACGAGGGAGAGAGAGAGAGAGAGAAAGAGTCAGAGATCAAAGGGTTAACGTTACAACATAAGTTAACGGCTAGGCCTTCCCCCGCGTACCGCAATCCTTTTCGTCTGAACCATCCTTGCAATCATGGCCGCCATCACACCGCCATCCGTCCGGTATACATCTGCCCGTGTCGCAGGCGAACATTCCGACCCCACACGTCGTCAGCTCTGGGCAGGTGTCGTCCAATACGGCGCACGAGAACTTACCATCGATACACGTGCTGCAAGATATGCGTGCATGCAGGCCCTTTACTAAACATCGTTTGTCATTTTTGTAAATGTTAGTTCTGCTTGTTGGTATAATATTGTGTTCATCGTTTGTTTAATTTGGCAGTACGGAACGGAAGAATTTGGCATTGACGCACATTCAATGACGCACGTTAAATGACGCATTTGTCAATGACGCATGCATTGACCCACGTTCTAGGAAGAAAATATGCTTTGCATTTTCTGTGATGTACGCGTTTATTACGCTTCGGAACTTGCGTTGTAATATTCAATTTGTTTGTTTACGCATTTATTGCGTTACAGGGAATGTGAAATTATCTTGTTATCATGTTATTATTAGTCATCATATATAAATAAATTATTATTATTATTATTATAATTGTTTTATTATTATATTAGAATATGTGTACCAATTACTTTGTATATTATATTATATGTGATTATTACTATTACAAGTATTGTTACTATACAATACGTATGGCTAGTAAGCTGAGTGTAGTAGCTGCAAATATCTCACCAGTTCTTGCAATCCTCCAACAGCATGTCTCCTGGGTTGAACTTGACACCTTCCTTCGTGCAGGGGCAGTCCGTGGCCGGCACGCACCAGTCACCTAACGTAATGAAACACACAAACGTAGCATTGCAGCACTGCCATAACGTATACAACGCAAACACAGCATTGCAGCACAGGTCCAGAGCTGTGCCGATGATTGCGTGACGTCATTAAAGATGGCCCCCTCCACGACAATGAGCGCAGTTGTGAGGATCGAGGACGTGATGTATAGCTCTTTAACATTGTTGACGCAACAACATAATATTTATGCTAGTAAGATGTGTGATGTAGTGTAATGTAATGTAATGTAATGTAATGTAATGTAATGTAATGTAATGTAATGTAATGTAATGTAATGTAATGTAATGTAATGTAATGTAATGTAATGTAATGTAATGTAATGTAATGTAATGTAATGTAATG